ATGTCGTTATTTCGTTGTGACTCAGAATAGAGCAGAATTCTATCTCCAGATTGCATTATCCCATGTTTGTTCTTGAGATCTAAAGTTGGTTTATTTTTCTGCTTTCATGGAGAGTGATTTTGTCCACCTCTGTTCTTCATTCAGTGGCTGTTTGCTTTTCCTACCTTTTAGCCTTCCTTGCTGTAGAAAATTGATCCTGCGAAAGCTGCCCATTCTTTCTTTTTCTTTCCATGGAATATTTGTGAGCAACTTGAGGTCAGAGAGTAGGGTTTTTCCTTTGTTTTGTTTTTTTCATCTTTGTGTCTCTGTGGCCCCTGGTGGCGCTGGGGAGATGATGATGGCGCTGTCCTCTCTCCCAGCCCCAGTGACATCTGAGTGTGTGGGGCTCTCCTGAGTGAGTGCGCCTGCTCTCGCTCATAAGAGCTCCGGGTTTGCACAGTGGTTTAATATTTATTGAGCACATCTATGTGCTGAGCACGTTACAGGTATTAGTCTATGCAGGTAGGACAGTTTTGTCCAGTCATTACAGATGGGAAGTTAAAGCACAGAGACTTCAGTGTTGTTTATGTGCTAAGCACTTTGCAGATGTCATTCCATGGAGTCCTCATAGCACCGCGATGAGAGGTGGGTTCTGCCATCTGTATTTTATGAATAAAACCACTGAAGCTTAGGGAGGTTAAGCCTAGGGTGATAGGCTTATAAATTACAATTTATTGCCCAAACTGGACACTTGTGTTTGTGAAAGGGGTTGCTATTATGGGTTACTCCAGGACAGCAGGGGCAAGCGAGGACTGTGCTCAGCAAGCCAGGACGCACGGTTGTCCTCCACAAGTAACTAGCCTGAGTTTACTCAGATGCATCTGAGCGCTAGGCCTTTGGCCTCCACTGCACTCTTGCCTCACCTGTCTAGAGCGTCTCATCCCTGTGAGCTTGGGCTCCTTGGTTCTGCAACCCTGCCCCCATTTGAGCATGTCCTGAGCATGTCAGCATTTCACTGCCCACCGGCTCAGGCCCCGCTGTGACTCCCGTTTGCCAGCCCGTCACCACATGGCACACTCCTTCCTGCTGCGCCACAGTGGCTGCCATCGTGGAGACAGACTGCCCGTGCTGGTGGCAGTGGTGTGAGCACTCTAGTCCCAGGGGTGGAGCTGCTCATCATCCGCTGATTCAAGAAGATGATCCAGTCTATACCTCCAAGACACCTGCAGCCCACTTGGAGTTCTTTGTGAATGGGGAGGGAGTGTGGAGTGGGAGCCAATTCAGAAAGGAAGTTTGCAGTGGAGGGACTGATGAGCGCTGGTCTGGAGAAGGTTAAGCCTTCCACGCGAGGTGAGGGGGAGGTATGGCAGATTCAGTTCGTTTGCCAGGGAGGAAGAAGCAAGGTGAGTGGACACTGCTAGTGGCCCTGATTTCTCTGTGACGTGCACTCCCTACTGGGGGTACAGGGTGAGGCGATGGATGGAGGACTTTCTATCTGACAGACATCAAAATTGGAGTTAGCTAAAGGGGTAGTCTCATTACTTGGGACACGTGGTAACTCTTTAACACTCTTCTTAAATATGTAGTCCAACAACGTGTGTTAATGGACCTTAATGTAAATCAGATGGTTTTGCACTATAGACACTGTGTGAATAGAGGGTCTAGATGATCTTGTCTCCATCTAGCTTTAAAATTCTGTCATTCTACTTGTTCATAACTTAGTTTGTAAAAAACGTATTTCAAGGATATAAAGTGTATTTCTTTAGAAATAATCCATAATTGGGCTTCTCATTCATCGCACTGTTCTCTGTTCCCCACGTGAGCAGAGTTCGTCGCGGTTGGCTCTGTAGTATCTGCTCTCTCACCAAGACACTCGTTAATCTCGGGACAGTCTTTCTAAGCTGCCTATAGCGTTAAGACCATCCTTGTCAAGTAAAACACTTAGACATTTTCTTTTATGTTCTTCTAAAATGTTATAGACATTAGGCATAAAGAGCATTTCTGTCACTTTGTGACATGTTAATGCCTTTTTTGCTTGATCAGTCCTGATATGTAGTCCTTCCTGAGTGCCAGCCCTGCTCAGAGCACTTACAGATACTAACTCCTCACAATGACCCCATGAGGCAAGGTCTGTTTTCATCTCTGTTTTACAGATCAGGAAACTGAAGGGCAGAGAGGGAGGCAAAGTAACACGGCTAGTGTTGGCCGAGTCACATTCGCTCTCAGGAGCGTGACCCCAAAGCATCTGTCTCCTCTGCCACTGTGCCCCACTGTGTTTCTAGTGCGCTGCATGCCATGTCACTTACTGGCAAAGACTGGAACTCAAGTGGGTGTGTGTCTCTCTCTTCTCCCCCCTCCTTCCCCTTTCTCCCCGCCCCATGCAAAAGCATACCAATTTGTCAGAACCATGGAGCAACTAAATTATTATTTTGACTGACACTCAGAATTCTCTGGCACACAGGTGTTTATTAAAAGTAGCTAATGAGCATACACTTTTCTGCGAACATACATAGTGCTTCCTTGGTACTCTCAGGCATTTGGAGAGGTTTGAAGCTGTCCAGGTCACAGGACGCGCATCGTTTGTTGGATGGCGCTGCATGGCGGAAGGCATCCGATCTTCCCTCCGCCACACCCTTAGGGGAACATTTCAAAACAAAACCCAAAACAGAGACAGCCCCGAGGCCAAGAGCTTTTCTCATGGCAGATTCCAGTTTACTTGATCTTTTTAGTGACATGGGGTTTCAGTTCAAGAGAAGTTTACATTCCACGAATCTTGTAGTCCTAACTGTCAACAAATGACGTAATGACCAAATGGTATTTATTTATTTTTTAAATTTTTTTTTAAGGTAGGTGCTTCTGTTGTACCAAATGGTATTTAGAGTGGTGAGACACCCTGAAACTAAAATCTTTAAAACTGAATACTTACAATTTTTATTCAGTCCGGAAATTGTTAAATAGTTTGAAAGCCGAGTTGGCAGCCCCTGGGCTGGTTGCACGGTGCAGCAGGGTTTGAGCTAACCCTCTGACCCTGGGGGACTGTGCACACGGGGGGTTTCCTGCCCCTTAGCTCGAAAGGCAGTCCTTAGATCCCGAGGGCACGTGGTCTGTATTCCCACCTGGCTGCATCACGGCTCTCCTCTCCCTGACGTCGTGGCTTGTGTTTTCTTAGGGAAACCGTCCGTTCTTTGCAAGTCCCATCACATTTTAATCTGGAAGGAATTTGTGTCAGAGGAAATAATTGAAACCCTACAAGAAATAGAAGCGATATATTATTGTCCTTTTCCTTCATTGTTAGGATTATTAAAGTTATCCCATATCTCTAAAAGTTCATTAAAACTGGAAAAATTCAATTAATTACTGGATTTTTGTTTTAAACAGTACTTGTTGAGATTTTTGTTTGTAGTAGATTTTGTATCTGTAAGGAAAATTTCATAAGAATCTTTAGTTTGCCACCCACATTAATAGCCATTATTAGAGTCTGAGTTTTGAGGACTTGCATGTGATTACTACAAGAGTTTAAAAAGAGGAAGAGAATTGTTTTTAATGCCTTTGGATTGTTTTAATGGGAACGTCGTGATTACTTTGATAGATGTGAGAATGCCGTGTTAAAGTTGACATTTGGGCTGTGACTTGGACTTCACACGCTTTCTGCGGGCCCTTTCTTTACACAGGCCCACAACAGTGTGGACCTCAGAAGGGAAGCTCGAGAACAAGCCGTAGCTTTTGGATTTCCTGATTCTGGTTATTTCCCTCTGACCTGTATGCTATTTATGTAAAACCAGTGCTCAGGGAAGGTTAGAACGCTTCAGGTGCGGCGCCCTCTGGCTGTGGTTTAAGAAATTGAATACCCTAAAGTATCTACTGTGTAGTTTTGAGATAAGACTCTGTTTATAACATTATTCATATATTTCTTGGGCTGATAAAGATTTTTATAATTTTGTTACAGAGGAAACCTTAACTAAATGGGAAGTAAATTTTAAAGTATTGAACGGAGTATTTGGACTCTAGCCTTAAAGCTTCCTTACTATATTCATAAACTGTATACCAAAGGTTTTGTTGGAGGTGGGCAGGTCAGGCATGTGATTTTATGATTCCTAAGGGATCAGGTTTTTTGTTGCTAAAAATGACACTTAGCATAGCATCAGGCAAGTGGAAACTTGTTTATGTGATTCGATTTTTTCCCTAATTCACCTTTGATCAAGAATTATCTATATTGATGTCTACTAATCATACTGCCCACACAGTTGCCAACAATCTATTTAGCATTCAACTAGTTGTCATCAGTGTATAATTTAAATTCTGTTTTCTTTACCATTGTCTTTCAGAAGTAGTTCTTTTTTCTAAAGTTCTTTAGAGAGCTCAAAATTTGTCCAATTGTGAAAGAACCAGTCATAAGACCACACAAGCACACTACCTAATGGGCATCCGTTGGTTGCAATTTCAAAAGTATCAGATAATCTTCCTCTTTAAAAAGTATTTTGTCCCTAACAAAGGAATACTTTTTCTTTTCTTTATAACTTCGCCTGCTGAAATTCAAGCAGATAAACCAGGAGATTCTAAATTAACGTTGTCTGCATTTTCTATGGCCTCCAAATCAGCTGTACCCCGGGAGTAAAGCAAATGAGCACAGCGGACACTTGTCTTGCTTTTTACAGCAGGAAACCAGGGCGCACCTTAATCACGGGCTTTTGTTAGTATATCCATGTTTCACACGGGCCCCGGGCAGGTGATTTTTTGATTCTGAAACACATTCTTTGACGCTTGATCACAAGAATTTGCTATTCTCCTGACGTGGGAGGTTTGGGACTGGGAGTGGTGTGGTGAACGGTGTATGTGGAAGGGCAAGGAATTTCATTTTCCGAATAGTGTTTTTGCGCTGTTCTTGTTCTTGGTGGTGGCGTTGACCCTTCTTGCTAAACGTCTTTCCTCTGTGGTCTGACATCAAGGTAAGGGGATGATGTTTCTTGAAAGAATTTGGAGCCCTGTCTAATTACCTTTGTTTTTTTGACATTGTTTTCTAGCATCCTCCAGGACAAATAGCAAGGAAATACAGCTCCTGCTCCACTATTTTCCTAGATGATAGCACAGTCAGTCAGCCAAACCTCAAGTATACAATTAAATGGTGGGTATACAGATTTTTTTTTTTTTTGGCTTAACTGAATGTTTTCTCTGTTCCTTAACATGATGGCTAAGCTAGTTGGTTGTGAGATCTCGGAGTGGTAGGATTTGGGGGGTAGGGGTGGGGGGGGAACTGACAATTCAAGAAATCTTTTTTAAAAGTGATTTTTGGTAGTTAAAATATCGGGTGTTCAAAATACTTATGCAGATTACACAAAAAAGTCCAAAATTTTAAATTAAGTGTAGATTACTCAAAATATATTTTCAGTTTCTGTGCCTACTTTCTACCCTATTGCTTTTTATTGAAGCCGTCCTGGTGTAACTTGGCTAATATTTTTGCCTTCTAAGTAAAACAAGGCTCCTGTGTTCCCAGTTAACACCCAGGGCTGCAGTGGAACGGCCTCTGCGTAGCGAGTGTACTTGCGCTGGTCAGGAGGTCTGAGTTCTGACCTTGGTCCTCTCACCGACAGGGAGGCTTTGGGTAGGTCCCTTCTCTGTGGGCCGTTAGTTCCATATTTTAAAGTTGAGTTTGAGAGGGAGGAAAGGGAGTCTTTGGATAAAATTCTTTCCCTTTGGGGGCTTCAGTTTCCTTATTTTAAGAGGGAGGGAGCACTGGTGTTTCCTTTAATGTCCCCCCCTAGCATTGTGGTAATAACAGCCCTTAGCAGGGACCACTGAGAACTTGGTGTGTTGGGGTCTGTGGTCAGCAGCTCAGCTGTGAAAAACCTGTGATATTTTAACAATAGTGCCTGTCAGTATATGAAATAAGTGTTTACATTTCTAAATAAGAAGTATCCCTCCATCTCAAAGGGCCAGGTTTTCAGGCTTAGAAGCCCACTTCTGAGCGTGGCCACGCATGACAGGCAGGCGGTGAGGACGGTAGCCATCTCTGTGGCCGGTGTCCACGCCAGGTGGAAGGTGGAAGACAAGGCCACTTGGATGGAGGCTACTTGTTTATAGACAGTTCTCACCTCACCTGTTGGGTTGCACATTTCCAGGGTTTCACATTTTCTTGGAAATACAGCATCTTCACTCACTGCCTTGGCATCTGAGGGCAGGGGAACAGCTAGTGGGCGCAGACCCAGCAGGCAGCACTCTCAGCTGGGAAGAGATGTGTCTGAGCTCCACAATGCCTGACCTTGCCCGAGCCACTTCTGCCCTTGGGCTGTGGTGGACTGCTGGAGATGGGAGGTGCAGGACCTCTTGGAAGTGTTTTCTAGATTAAGTCATCAGGACTTGTGCAGGAAGTGGAAGCCCTGTGCCGCACGGCCGTGGGCATCTGCTCAAGCTCCGAAGAGCCCAGAACGGAGCTGCTTGCGTCCCTGTGACCCTGGGTACCTCTCACAGGGAGGGAGGCAGAGCAGAGCAGGGGAGGTGGGGGCTCTTGGGATTCACGAGTGGATCTGACTCGATACTCCATGCTTTCACCATTGGACCTCTTAAAATTGCCACTGCTTGTAACATTAGACACTTGGGAGCCTGGTGGGAAAACTAAGCGACAATTTGGTAGTTCATTGGTCAAATCTGGGAGGTGCAGGCGCCTAAAGTTACAAATGTGTGTCTGTGCAAATTACTAGTTCCTGCCCTGGGTGCACCTGGGAGTCACCTGGGAGCCTAAAAACACATTGGCGTTCGACATCTCCCTGCAGATCCAGAGTGAATCTGTCTGAGGTGTGGTGTGAACATCTGGATTTGTAAACCACCTAGAGATTCTGACAGGCAGCCAGGGTCGAGGCCCCTGATGGAAGGACAGCTGCCCTCCCCGACCCCCATCAAAAGTTTCAGGGTCCCCTTGAAACTTGTAAATCAACTGTGGGTTAGCATGTAGAGGACAGAGAAGCTGAGAGGCAGGCACAGTTAGGATAGCTGCTGTGGAGACAGCGTCAGTGCAGATGTCGTGGCTTCCCTGACTCAAAGACATTTTCTCTGCACTTCCTAAATTTGAAATTCCCACAGTCATAGTTGAGTTGCTTTAAAGACATACCTTGGGAGCTGCGCAGGGTGGGCCCTACCTGAAGTAGCAGCACCATCGGAATCCATCCCAGGAAACACCAGCGTCTCATGCTGGGTTTGGCTAAAGAGTAAAAAACATTTTGGGGTATTAGCAGGCCTGGGGGAGTTCTTCAGCAAGGGACTTTGACAGTGTGAGAGGAAAGGGGTCCTCAGAAGGAGAGGAGTGCCAACGGGCAGGGGGATGCGAATCCAGATGCCATCGCATTCTAGAGTGGGGCCTGAACCCTACCCAGGGCCTGTCAAAAGGAAACTCCTATATTCTTATTTGCTTCCTTGCCTCCCCTAAATCCAGGCCCACTGGCCCCTCACCTGTGATATCAAAATTGATAGTAAAATCATTAACACTGCAGTTCAGCTTCATGATGGGCGTAAGTGAGCATTTCTGGGCCAAACTTGCTTCCTGAAAACCAGTTACAACCTGTTCCTGTGAGAGAATGCTCCGAGTTCTAAACAACCCGTATGTAACGTGGTTTTTGGAAGGCAACCCACCCACCTGTAAATTGGGATTGCCCAGATTAACAAACGTATTTGCAAATTCTAGTTGTGGCTGGGATAGAGAGTTGAGTGCTGGTCTAGCAGTGAAAGAAAAACTATAAAAAATTTGGGCACTCGTTCTGTGCTCCTTCTTTCTATAGACATGATTTTTTATTTTGAGACTGGATTTTCCCATCTTTCCCCTAAATGCCAACAGCTGTGGTATGAATTTAGCGTTCGCCAACCACCCTCCACGTCCCTGCAGCCAGCCCCTCCCCGCTAAGTCCTGTATCCTAATACCAGCTCTGTGGTGTGGGTTATATTATTATCCCAGTTTCACAGATAGATGGGGAAGGGAAGGCTGCAAGAGGTGGAGCGAAGGAGGGAGGCAGGTTTGGAAGCCAGGCTGTTCTGACTCCAATCCAGTGGCGTTTATCCTGTGCTGCATCACCCAGGGCGGAGGGAAACATTTCCTTTCTCAGAGATACTAAACTAATCACTACACGAAACCCAATCATATGAAACATTTCATTTAAATCCGACATTAGATTAGAAAAGCAGTCATTACCACATGACTATTAAATGAATAAAACAGTGATTTCTCCCCTTTTCCCAGAGACAACAGGGTAGAACAAAGGGCACAACATCATTATATGTCAGACATCCTGACAATCTGCTGTCAGAACCTGAAATTTTTGATTTTTAAAATAGAATCAGTAACATCTACTGTGTTCTCTTACAGAGCTATTAACGTGAAAACACTTTGCAAACCTTATTATTTTTTTAATTCTGAGGCCCTTTCACCGCAGTTACAATTCCTTCATCACTGAGATCCTTTTCATGATGTTGGGAGAAAAACGATGACTTACCACTTATTTGCTCACCAGTACTCAACACTTAGCTGAAGTCATTTGAATGAAGCAATATGGAAAGAGAGAGGTTTGGAAGAATGCACGTTATGGGATAGAGGGAGATTAGCTATTGTCACGTGAAGTCACAGGGAAACCTCTGGAATCCAAGGGCTTGCCCAAGGCTGCCAGCTGGCGCGGCCGAGTGGGTGGAAATATTTGGGCTGAGTTGTCTGTCTCGAAGCTGGTGCCCTGGGTGGCAGTTTCTGCGCTCTGAGAGAGCAAGAGCACAGTCCGAGACAGCCAATCAGCTGCGTTCTTGGAAGCTTAAAAAATAATTTTTGGCCTCCTCGATAAATTTTAATGTAAAACAAAAATAGTGGAAGGATCTAGGCAGTTTTTAAAAGAGGAAAATTTTTAAAGTTGGCTGGTCAAACCCTGCGAACTTAATAGGGGATTAAAGAAACTCAGATTGAACAAAGGTAAACTTTTTGACCTATCCAGTCGGAGAACACTTCGTTAAAGCATTTAAGGTCGGTCTTGGCGAGTGTGAGGTGAAACAGACGCTGGTGGGGAAGTACGCTGGTGTAGTCTTTCTGAAAAACGTTTGGCAATGTGTGTTGGGAGCCTCGCTGTTATTTATACCTTAGATTAAGTAATTATAATTGCAGGATGCTTTCTTATGGACATAATATAGTCATAGGTTGCACAAATATTTATCTGTGAAGATGTCCATTATGGTATTATCATTGCAAAATATTAGAAAACTTAAATGTTCAATTGTAGGGAAATGGTTAAGTAAATTACTCAACAACTGTATGATGGAATATATTCAGCCATTTAAAATCATGTTTTTGAATATTTTAATCAAAAAGTGATAATAGGGATAAAGTAGGATGCAAACCTCTTTGTTTACACACATAATATCTCAAGCTAATACTTATCTTTGGGCAGAGGGATTATTTTTCTATATACTTTCTATATTTTCCAAAATTTCTATAATACATGTTTTTTATAACCAGAAAAACATTATTAAAAAAAAAATTCAGGGGAGGGGAATGTACATTAAGTGAAGATCTTTTAAAATGTAAAATAAAGAATTTAAGGTAGTGCTATAAATAAAAGTTACGGTACCACTTCAGCCTGTGAATGAATAACTTGAGCAGATTGCCAAGAGGTTATTGATTTAAGAGGAAAAATAGCAAACCGTTGTGGGTGATAGTCATATTTTTTTCGTAGTTACAAAGAAACCACTGATCTTCTAAACTAGTAGATAATGAAGTTGAAGATTTCTAAAGGTGTTTAATTTATATCACTTGTTTTCTATATATCATGGCTGTATTTTACAAGTGAGGAAAGCTTAAAATTTCTGAATAGAAAGAGCAATTTGTCTCTGAATATCCCTTGAAGTTCTGTTGTTCCCAGAAAAGATTTAATAATTCTTGGGAATGCATACCAGATAGATTTACTTTGAAGAGTACATTTTCTTGATCAGCATTCTGAATGACATAGGGCTGTTCAGGTAGATTATTAGGCTTTTTATTATTTCTAAATATTTATGTTCAAACCTGATGTCAGATAATATATGAGATCTTGGATATGCTTATGAAACATTGAACTTCTGCATTTTATTTTACAGTGTAGCTCTTGCAATATATTATCACATCAAAAACAGGTATGTGGATGATTAATTTTATGCTAAACTATCACACATTATCTTCCATTTTTCCTATTTTTCTCTTATTATGTTTTAGTTGCCTCAACCTTTGAATTTTATATTCTTAAGTTACTATTTTCATAGAATTTCTAAAGGTAGTATAATTTATCAAAACTTCCTAGGTAAGTGCTGAACTGCTTCTGAATCAAAGGAAACCAGCAAAACAGACCAGAGCTCCTTAATGATGTTCAGCTTCCTCTTCATTTTTTATTGTCTGTATAATTTGTTTAAATATATTATCTTCCATTTTTCCTATTTTTCTCCTATTATGTTTTAGTTGCCTCGACCTTTGAATTTTATATTCTTAAGTTACTATTTTCATAGAATTTCTAAAGGTAGTATAATTTACCAAAACTTCCTAGGTAAGTGCTAAACTGCTTCTGAATCAAAGGAAACCAGCAAAACAGACCAGAGCTCCTTAATGATGTTCAGCTTCCTCTTCGTTTTTTATTGTCTGTATAATTTGTTTAAATATTCTATCTTTTATAAAGTATTATTTAAAAAGTTTTCTGTGTGCAATTTAACATAAAAAATGTTTATAGTTTGAATTTAGTAGAAGAAATATTGGTATAAATTTAGACATAAACTGTTTTAGTGTTGTAGAAACCTCTCTCTGATAGCAGTGTATCTGGCAATAGTTCAGTTAATTTAAAAAGTCTGTTAAAACAGACAGTCCACAAAAATCTACCTTAAACATTTTATTTCAATGTATAACATGTAAGAATACATTCTTTTGCCTTTTTTTTTTTTTTTTTTCAATGCAGCATCAGGACATTTGCTTCAAGCATGGGACATTGATTGGAGAACCAAAGTGTCTGTCTTTTATAAGCCACACCTATAGTTCATTCTTTCCAGATTGGGTTTTTTTTTTTCCCCAATAGCAAGAAAACTGAAGGACATTTACAAAACAGTGAGTGTAGAATTTTTCAGGTTTTGTCCACACATGGAATCTACAGCAAATTTATTTTTTGTGATTTCATTTTATTGGGTCTTTCCAAAGCATCCTTCTTGGTTTTCATAAGAAAAAAGCCATTCTCACGGTAGTCCTGTTTCATGGATTAATGTAATATTTATGTATGTTACACGAGCATAATAAGCACAACTGGTGTGAACTAGTTGGGAAACAAGCAGAGCCGCCACAGGGAAAGCGACCTAGGCTGAAGCCCCCCCACCTTTAGGGGGTTCACAGAGCGGGGAGAGAGTTGGGGTAAGTCAGGGCAGGGGAGGTTGGATGACAGCTTCTGACTAACAGTGTTATGGGAAGACGCAAATATCTGGAAGCAGACACCTGCAAAGTTATTCTCTGTAATGACCTATTTCCATATTTCAGTGGTGCTTGAGAATTTTAGATTTTTAAGAATTTACGAACGGTATGATTTAGGAACTCTAAATCTTGAACCAGAATAACATATCAGTGAAAATGCAGATTTTGTCTCGTTGCTTATTTCTATGACCCTCGTTCAAACTTTTTAAGCGTTTAAGCCTTAAGTAACAATGTAATACCATTAGTGAAATTCAGATGTGCTTTCAAGCCAGGTTTGGGTTAGAATCTCTATTTCTCAGCTCGTAGACTGTCACAGATCCCGAAGTTTATTTAGCCGTAGCTGATAATAACAACGGCCAATTTTATTAAGCGGTTACTCTGACTGCTCTGGTCAGTTGTTGACATGCATTGTCTGCTTTACTTTTAATAACAATTCCTTGAGTTGATACTGTATGATCTCCATTTTATGGATAAAGAAATTGCACAGAGATTAAATAATTTGCCTAGGATTATACAACTAGGAAATTAGGGAATTAGGAATTGAACACAACTACCACCTACACCTTTAATCCTATTGCTCTCCTAGATTAAGGTGATAAATTAGGCCGAAAGTGAATGAGCGGAAGTGGAGAATCCAACTGAAAAACTGGAGCATTTGTAAACAAGCATGATTAATCTACAGATTGTAGCCTGAGGGTCTGTAGGGAGGAGGAGGCATGACTGTCGCAGACCTTTGGAGCTGGTGATAGACCGTGCTGGGTGGATGTGGTGCTGCCCACCTGGGACACAGCTTTCGGTGGAAGTAAGGAAGCAGTCTACTTCCTAGAGGATTCTCCAGCATCCTTTTCCCAGCATCATTTTAGCCCAAGTTCTTAATCCTCATTTATATTTTTAGCCTCTGTTCTCATTTTTAAAATTGCTTCTGGTGAACGTTTCTCTAGAGTGCTGGGTGGCTTTTCAGGGGCTCTCATTTCCCAGGAAAACTGAACAGGCCTCAGCTGCCTGAGGAAATGGGGTGCCGGGCCAGCCTCTGTGTCCCATGCAGCGTCCTGAGTGCCTTGCAGGGGCTGTAAATGAGGTGGGGGACCAGCTGATTCTTCATAGCCGGGGTCACGATCAAAGCAAGTATACCCAGGGGCACCCAGAAGGAGCTGTCCCTACGCACTCAGACTGTGCCATCAGGGCAAACCGTTCTTTCACTTGGGTTTATCTGTGCATTTGCTGTGTTTGTGGAGGCAAGTGTAAGTGAGCACAGGTGTGACACCCAGCGCTTTAAAACAATTCTTGTTGTGCAAATGTAGGAATGAAAATTGAGCTGTTTTGGTAAGCTCTTTCTTTCTCTTTTGTTTGTATGCAGACAGTAAATTTACAAAGCAGAAATTGTAGTGTTTACCGTGATGAGGGTGTGACGGGGACAGGTCTATAGCATTCAGATGTTCTGAAGCCCTAACCATGGAAATTATATGTGGTTACCCAAAAGCAGTGGTTTCCACATTTAGTTTTTAAAGAAAAAATTTTAGGTAAAACTCATTTTACATAAAACAGTTGAAAGTAGAGCTGTCACTGGTGCGGGTGGTCCCGGCAGCCAGAGCCACCGTGTTCTCAGGGAAGGTCACCATGTCGCGTGGTTCTATGCACGTACCAGCCTGGTAACAGCCAGCCGGTCTTCTACAGATTATTGAGTTAATCTTTTCTACTTGTTGCCTCTTGTTTTTTGGTATAAAATTGTGAAACTCTTAATGAAATAGTCAAGTTGCATGTTGTAACCATTTCCACCTGATCTCTGGGACACCATGAATGTCGATTCTTACCCTCACACTTCTTTCCTGTCAACCACGCATGTTATGGAGGTGATGGTTTAAGTCAGTCTGTCAACCTTTGCTCAGAAATAAGATGTTAAAAGAAATTTAAGTAATTTGCTTAGATTTGGTTCATGTGAAAACTCAGAGAATGGAATCGAGGTTTTTTTTTACTTACTTCAACTAAACATGGTTTATAACCTTCATTTCCATGGACTAATCAAACAAAAATGATTAAATATTGTACCCAAGAAGGACAAATCATCATTTGTGAATAACCAACAACAGCATCTCATATATTTAGCACTGACTTGTGTTTCTTGAAATACAATTGAATCAAAATATATTTTTGTTTTATTTAAGCGATGCTCATTCTTACAGAGAGTAAACTCCATTTTCTATGATTTTCCCCACCAGGGACCCAGATGGAAGGATGCTCTTAGATATTTTTGATGAAAACCTTCATCCTCTTTCGGTAATCTCCTCCTTGTGTTTTATGAGATAATTTAATTATTTCTCTTTGGCGCCTGTCAGGTAACTAGTCATCTGAAAATATTTCCTTTCGTAGAAATCCGAAGTGCCACCAGATTATGACAAACACAACCCAGAACAGAAGCAGATTTACCGGTTTGTTCGGACGTTGTTCAGTGCTGCTCAGCTCACGGCTGAATGTGCCATTGTCACCCTGGTGAGTTACCTGCAGAAGGGCCACTTCCACTCTCACCTCCACGCTGGGTGGCCCTGGGTCTGCTCCTGTGGTTCAGTGCAGGGGGGTGTGAGCAAGGATGCTCTCCAGGTGACCTGTGGAAACTATGGTGTGGCTTCACTGTTGTCTTTTTTTCCGGGAGAACAGAATATGGATATCCCAAAAGAGGATGTAAAATATGTTCCACTGTCCCCACCTAAAGTCATTTGTGAAATCACATTCAAAACCAATAAATGCTGAGATGCTAAATATAGGTAAGTACAACAGTTAGGCTAAAGGGGAGTAAGAAAGGCCAGGGTCACCCCCTCTTACCATCCAGGCTTCCTGTTGATTCCCTACAAAGATTTTAATAACACTAACAAGATACGATGAATACTTACATCCTGTATGAATACCTGTCTAGGAAGGAGTATATGTATTGCTAGCTTCTGTTCTGTGATTTTTGTGTAAATGTGTCTGTAAGATATTCAGAGACTACGTGGAGGTAATCTGCATTTTAAGACTCAAGAGGAAAAAATTAAAATCTATTCTTAGATTCTTAGAACTTTATGGACGATCTAGGTCAAATCTCATTTGGGAAATAGATTTAACAATGGAACCCATTGTCATCTTTTACATTGTGTGTAACTCAGATAAGAAATTAAGCTTTGCCTGTGCATGAGCTATCCTGGTGAGCAGAACACCATTCCGTGTCGTTTCTGAGAAGAGATGATTGTCTAATAAAAATTCTATGGGCGACCTAAGGACTCTGTATTTCTGCCACACTAAGAGATTTGTGCTCTTAGTAAACCTGTTTGCTCATTCATTCATCTGTTCATCCATGTATTCATTTCTTCTCATTGAACTTGCAGCCTAAAGGGTAAAACAGTCAAGTAATCATTATGATTTGGAATGATTATAGTTTCTTGTGTCATAATAGAGAAGTGTAGCCTAGGTGTGGGGTAGGCTATATACACTGTCTAGGTTTGTGTAAATACACTCTAGAGTCTAGGATGTTCACACAACGACAAAATCGCCTATCGACATATTTCTTAGAATGTATCCCTGTTAAGCGACATATGGCTGTACTTGTAAACTGTTGTCCACCAGCAGCCCCCAAGGTGTGTATTGCAAGTTGGTCACAGAGACATCCTGTGCTTAGCACATACCAAGCTTCCAGACTCCCAGAAGGAAAGTAGGTTCAGCTTACACCACCTTGTTTGTGTAAACAGTGTCGGCACAAAGAGCCACCCTTGTTCGTTCTGGGAGTGGTGGGAACCCTCCTGAAGTGGAAGGTCCCAGGTGCCGGCTGAGAGGCAGCCTTGGGAGCAGCCTGTCTAGGGCGGCAGCCTCAGACCTGCTGCGCTCACTCTTTTCTGCACACTGCGCCGTTCTGTTCTTTCCCTCCTGCATAATGTTTTTAGGTGGGTGATTGGGATCGTTCCTGGGCTGCAGAGGCCTACTCTCGTAGGGCAGAGTCTTCGTGAGGGTGTGTTGATGCGCATTCAGTAACGTTTGAAATTTACTTCGTGGCCAGCCCTTGCCATGTAGAAATGTGGGACTGGGGTCTTCCGTGTTCAAAGAGAAGCTGGAAACCCAGAGTCACTTTTGAAAGCTCCCAATTGTTTAATGTTAGCTCAGATTTTTGAAAAGAATCTCCAAGCCAAATGAAACCTGTCTACGTGCTACCTCCGGCCTGTGGACTGCTGGTTCTGCTTTAGGCAGTAGGGAGCCATCCAGGTTTTTAGACAGGTGTATCAGTTTCCTAGGGCCGCTTTAACAAAGTAGCACAGAATGGCTTAAACACCAAAAATTTATCATCTCACAGTTCTGGAGGCCAGGAGCCCCAAATAAAGGTGCTGGCAGGGTTGGTTCCCTCTAAGCGGGGCTGCAAGGGAAGGACGTGCTCAGACCTCTCTGCTTGGCTCGTAGATGCGCATCTTCATGCTCACGTGGGTGTTTGCCCCAAATTCATGTGTCTCCAAGTTTCCCCTTTATATAAAGGCCCCAATCATACTGGATTAGGGCCCACCCTGATGATCTCATTTTAACTTGATTACCTCGGTAAAGACCCTGTCTCCAAGTAAAGTCACATTCTGAGCTCCTGGGGTTAGGACCTCAATATACGAATTTCTAGAGGACACGATACAACCCTATCAACAGGATATTGACAGAATCATGCATGTATTTTTTTCGAGGATCTCTCTAGAGACACCAGTAAAAAAGGTCAGGTTGAAGATTATACTTGGTGTTAATTTAGTAACTTATATTCATAACATAAATATATACATACTTCAGGCTATTGGAAAATCTTACAGCATTAGGTACTAAAAGAGTCCAAATGTGAAAGTTACAGAAATTTTATAAACAGAAATTTATAATTATTCCTTTAAAATAATTTTTGCCACAAAAGTGGCAATTCATGAAGCATCATTTAATCCTGGGATTTTGGGTAGCTATCCCATTCCCCCCAAACAGTACGTGTATGAGATGGCTGTCTGGAATTAGGGTGTAATTGAGAATGGAATGAAGCCACCAACTCTTCTCACAAAGTCTTGACCTTATAGTCTTGCCCTCAGCCCTGGAACATGCTCTGATGGTGTAAACCAAACAGCTCTAAGACAGCAGGATTAAAACCATAGCTTGTATGGATTCAGACAATTAACCGACCCAGCATTACTCTTTAAAGTCAGGTTGGAATAATCTTAGCATCATTGGGATTTTCTTTACATATATCCTTGATTCCATGAGTTTGGGTTTTATCCGCTTCAAATGCATTGGAACAGTTACGTGCAATCAGCTGAACACTCTTTGTGGCTCTGTAATTGCTCATTAGCCTATATTTTCTAGAGACTTCTTAGGAGAGTCCTCATGCATTTAAATCTGAAAATTTAATTGAGCAAGAGTGACAAATTAGCAATGGTCTAGGGATTCTGTTCAGAAAAATCAATTGTGTATTATTTTACTTGGCAGAGAATTAAAATACCTAAGTGGGAGTTTACTAAAGAAATTGCAGCTGACCCTTGAATATAGCTTTATTGGCAAGTTCTGCTAAATTACATGCTATTAAGTAGAGCTTATTATGAATGCCTTATCTCCCAGCATAATAACTGCTTTCCCTAAGTTACGGGGTGTGTTGTCATGTCTGATTCCTTCAGTTAGCGCTAATGGAGCATCACGCCTGATAGATGATTGTTAGTTTTTCCCCCAAATATTAAATATTATCGGGTGTATTAACATCTATCAGCTAAGGTAATTTGAGTCAGAAGAAAATTTTGTCACCTTTTGCACGAAGCCAGTGAGAATCTGTTTCCATGGAGAGCTTGGAGAGGTTGCAGCTCCTGTGTATGAGGGAGCAGAGCCTTCAGGATCCAAGTGAAGATTGCTTCACAGCTGCCTTTTTCTGTTGGCTTAAAGATCTGGAGGCTTAGTTAGGGTCAGTCTAAGCTTTCTGCCCTCAATGCAGTTTTATTGTACATTTTCTGATTCTCTTTGGTGGGGAGCGAGAAGAGTTGGTCATCAGCCTTTGTGAAATGTGCAGTCTGGGGGCCCGAGGTCAATGCCCAGCCGGGATTCCACCTGGCCTCACCTGGATCTTCCTCTGAAGAATTAGGATTTTCCCACAAAGAAAAATTGTGGGCTAAAACATTAGCTACTTTTTCTGTTCAAATTTAATGTAACAAATGCCATAAAAAAACTAAAATCTCCAAAAATTGTTAAGGTTATTGGGGTTGGATTGAGTTGGTGCATGGCTGGCTTCTGTTTGCAAGTTACAGACTCTGAAACTGACATCTCAGGTGGTGATGCCAGTGATGGGGAGCGGCTGTAAATACAGATGAAGCTTCACTTGCCTGCTGCTCACCTCCTGCTGTGTGGCCTGGTTCCTAACATGCCATGGACAAGTGGGTGGCCTGGGGGCTGGGGACTGCAGTTTTAAAAGTCCTCTGCGAGTCAATGTTAATTACCCTCTGTCTGAAGAACTTTCTAAAGATCAGCCTCCCCCCTAAAGCTCCCTAATGAGGTAACAGGTGTGGAGGCTTCCCTTTTTTGTTTAACCTTTCCCACCACTTTTAGGAGCTTTGGTATTATTTAACTGAAAATAATCTGTATTTGTGTATTTAACATTTTCCCTTCCACTTGAGCCTTTTTTGGGGTATTTTGTAATATTTAAGACTTTATAGGCATTATAGACAATGAATAATTATAATACTATATATTAATAGATTTCATCTGTTCTAGGAAGCAAGTTCTTAAAGTATGGATGATGTCTGTTTAATTTTCTTTCTGAGGTAGTAGTTTCACTTTGCAAATACTTGATAAAAATTATAAAAATAATAACACCTAGCACTCTGGGAGGCCGAGGCAGGAAGATTGCTTGAGGTCAGGAGTTCAGGACCAGCCTGAACAAGATCAAGACCCCGTCTCTACTAAAAATAGAAAAAATTAACTGGGCATGGTGGTGCATGCCTGTAGTCCCAGCTACTTGGGAGGCTGAGGCAGGAGGATTCCTTGAGCCCAGGTGTTTGAGGTTGCTGTGAGCTAGGCTGATGCCACAGCACTGTAGCCCAGGCACCAAAGTGAAAGCTCTGTCTCAAAAAGTAAATACCAATAAACAGATTTTTATGACCAGAAACTATAAAAGGCAGTCTTACCTATGACCCAACTTAAGCCATGGGCTTTGTGAATATTTCTGATGTCTGTCTTCAAACTAAATTCTGTCAATTTAGAAATCCTATGTCATTTGGATTTTATTTTCCAAGTTCAGTTGAATTGATTTCATTCTAACTATTTGAACTTCTTCAGTCTGGAAAGATGAACAAGTTCTGGACACGGGTGGTGGTGGTGGTTGTGTAATAGTGTGAATTTACATAATGCCACTGAGGTGTACACTTAGAAATGGCTACATGGTCAATTTCATGTTGTGTATGTTTTACCACAATAATAAAAAATAGGTTTATCAACAACTGCATGTAAATCTGTAGTTATCAACATCTCAAAATACAAAGCTTAATTTAAAAAAAAAAGCCCACCGACACACACACAAGTTAGGCTTATTGCCTTCACACTGTTTGTTCTCTTTGTTGGAATATTTGTCAAATGTGTATTAATGTCATAGTTGCCAGAGTGAGAAATTGGCCTGTGGCTCCTGGAATTTGTTCCTGCCCAGAGTCTAAGACCCAGCCACGTCCACACTGCATGATGGAGGGTGAGCTTTAGCCCATTTCTCATCAGACTTGAGCTGTTTGGCCTTTTAAAAATAAATACGGCCAGGTAATAAATTCCTGTTTAAAGGCTGGTGAAATGGAATTAAGCAAGGTTAGCATTTCCGTAAGTATGCTAGCGTGTCAGAGAAAACAAGTCATTTAGCTCTGGCGTTGTCCTGTCTGCCCAGGTATACCTTGAAAGACTGTTAACGTATGCAGAGATAGACATCTGTCCGGCCAACTGGAAGCGCATCGTGTTAGGGGCGATCCTGCTGGCCTCCAAGGTGTGGGACGACCAGGCCGTGTGGAACGTGGATTACTGCCAGATCCTGAAGGACATCACAGTGGAGGACATGTGAGTGGGGTTGTCGCCCAGTATGGGGCGGCGGGGGGGAGGAACTGTTGGGAAGGAAGCCACGGCCCTTGTTGAATGGCCTGTGTGGTACAGAATGGATGAACTTGACTGAGCGTCCATCGTGAGCTGGCACGGCAGGGGCACGGTTGCGAAATGCTGTGTGCAAAAGCCTGTGTTTCTCTTCCTGTGGGTTGTGAACTGGTAACGCTTTGTGGTTTTGCGACACTGGTTTACTGAAAATGCTAACAGGCAGGCATCCCTTGACGTTGATCAGAAAGGCGTGGGCTGGTGCTGACACCACCCTGGGAGGGTTGGCATTCGGGCTCCATGTCTCACTGCAGACTGATAACTGCGAGGCGGTGCCGCACAGTGCGCCGTGGGCAGCAGGCCTACGCGAAAAACGGAAGAGCTGAAATGTTACCTGTCTCTGTTTAGTTTCAGGGAGAAAATTTTCGCTTTGTCATGTTTTACAAGTTCACTTCTTAAAAGTCAGCCTGTGTCCCTGGGGCACTCATGTGTCGTCATCATCAGGGCTGCGTGTTCTCCCTCAGCTCAGGGAAGTAGCATAAATCAGGGGGTTGCTGGGTGCTGTCCCTGTCCCCACCCTATAGCTATCAGGGCAGTGTCGGGGTTTCTCAGGTCAGTCTTCACATTTAGGTGAGGATTACAGGAAGGAGATCTGCAAACTGTTATCTGGGATCTGGGGGCTCTGGAAATGCAGGAGATGGGTTCAGAGCCTCTTAGGAAGGAGGAGTTGTAGCAGATTTGAGACTGAACTACTCATGGTCTTTATGGCTTATAGTCACTTCTGACATTGTTCTTGCTAAAATTTTTCTCGTATTTTTTGTTTGGCATATCTCCTTGACAGACCGTGTCCCAATCCCCATCCATGTCCCTGCACCCAGTCGTCCTGGGTGTGTAGGATCTTCACATGCCTGTGACTACCACTGGGGTGGTGGGGGCGCATCCCGGGCCGCAGGCACGTGGGCACGTCGGCTCCGGATCCTCACCAGCCCGGGCCTGCGTTGCCTCTGGTCACTGACTTGCGGGGCGGACCATCTTTGTGGGGCCCCTTGAGGCATCCTTGTTTCCGTGCTCTTGGGGTGCAGAGCCTGCCTGTGTCTATATGAAGTAAGAAAAACATAAGTTTTTGATCATACTTGAAGGTGAAAACGGCTGTTAAAATAGTTGCCATTTAGATCATAAAGGAGGTCAACATTTGGGCCTAAGGTGTGACAAATTCTGGCCTATTTTCCTTACTGGGGGTTATTCTTTAATCAGCTCCCTGATGTCATTTGACACTGAACTGCATGTTGTGGGAATGACTTCCTGGCTGCCCCTTCCTGTTTGTGTAAATTAGGTGACACATGACCCGTGACTCGGTGTGGGTGGTGGTACCAGGCTCTGAGAGCGCACAGGGGCCCTGCCACGAGTACTCGTGTCTGCTTAAAGTCAAAAGAAAATACCTGATAAAGTCAGACTTAGTTAGATCCTAAATACTTTTAAAATTTATATCCCGGCTATTTCCAAAAAGAAATGAGATATGAAGGCAAGTAACAGATACCACAGAAGCATGGAAACAAAAGGGAGCAGATAAAAGGGTGACGAGTATTAAAGGTGGGAAGGAGATGCCGTTTTTTGCTCTGATCCTTAATCCACCAGGTATAACTTGCAAAAAGGCCAGCAACACTGAATTTCCATGTAACCTCAGGATCTATGGAAAATCCTTTCAGTTTCAGTTTATGGAAAACTTGGATGAACCCTGTACAAGGTATCTGTCAGTAGTTAGCAGTGTCCAGGTACCAGATTTGAACGCTGAGGACAAAGAGGTTACACAGTGTTCCAACAAAATGTTTAATAAGCAAATGGGGAAATTTATTCCCAGTTGATTAAGAAAGGTTTAGCTCTGTTAATCCCAGTGACGTTCCTTGTGCAGTGGTCAGATGGGAAAACAGTGGAAAATGAAGTGTGCTGGTCCCCAGGCCACTGGTGAAGGTGTTTTAACTAAGTGTCTGAAATACTCATTTTTTAATTTGTCCTTCTCTCCTTAAAATGGGAGGGTAAAAATAACAGGTAATTTGGAATTCCAGGTTCTTGGGTTTTATTCATTGGTAGTTTAAATTCCAAGTTAGAAAAAACTAAATAATTACCAAGAATATTTATGATAGCAAGAATAACAGCAGCTGTCAGTTATTGAACACTGCCTAGCTCAAAAGGAACAACTTCTGTTTATATCTCACATTTACTCATGAAGTAGTGCTATTGTTATTCCCATTTTACAGATGGAAACAGGCACTGAGAAGTTAAGTAAGACGCCTTGGTCACTTAGCTAGTAAGTAGCAAAGATAGAATTTGTTTTTTCTTTTTTAAGCAATTGTAGCTAAAATTGTTTCAAATATTCAATACAAAATATAACCATTTTTGCAAGTCAAGTCCCTTTTTACACAGAGAAGTTAGGAAATTTGGCCATAGTTCGTTCAGCTGAAATTAATCTTAATATGAAGAATTGTTTTGATAATGATATTCTTAACATTTGTTCTTTCTGTAGGCAGCAACACTGTGAATATTAAATATATATTAATGAAATTGGGTTTTCCAAGTGCAAAATAGTAATAGTTGCTTTATTCATTAATATTTTGAAAGAACCAGCACTGTGGAGAGGGTAGTAATAGTATTCATGAAGAATTCTGTTCCATAGTTTGTCCAAAGGAAATTGGTCATTTTTTTAGCCTGGTTTTTGTCCCTTTCTTGATAGCTATTGACGACCAGCCTGCCCCAATTGCTTGCAGCTGGGAAGAGGAAGGCATATAGGAAGACCTTGTGTTCCTAAAAGGTCCAATTGTAAATAGTTTCCCTGGGGAAACTCCAAATAATGCCCTGTTCCACTGCCACCTGCCAGGCTGAGAGCACACCCTCAGGGGGGCACGTGTCAGGGGTGACTTGTGCTCCTCCCCTGTCCCCACAGAGCTCTGGAGAATGAAGGCCCTGAGTCAGGCCAAGTGTAACTCGGCCAGGCTGAGTCCTTGTATTGTTACATCTTGCATATTCATTCCATCATTTGTCTTGAGAGCCACTGTGATCCATTTATAAAGTCCTGTTCACTCCGTGCTGATACATATGTTAACATACTATGTATATTCTCCTAAGAAAAGTTGATCCAACAATTGCATATATGGAAATTTGGGAAAAAACATACAAGTCTTCCCCCTGCCAAAAGGGAGAAGGAAGCAGGAGGATACTTTCTGGGAGGGGATATTAGCCAAAAAGGATGCTTTTGAATCCATGTTTACAGTCCCTGGCTGTACAAAGGTGCTCAGTTATGTTTACGTATCTGTTTGGAGGTGTGCGCCAGGTGGCCACAACAGCAGAGATGTTTACGTGTTTTGGCATGTCCATCCCTAGAAGAAATGTGGAAAATTTTATATCCTCCATTTTTAAGTTGACATTTAAGATTTGCAAAGGACATTATTTGTAGTATATTTTATATCATAGTATTTTAAAATTAAAAGTTTGCTTTGGAGACTGAATACCATAGTAGTATGATACCCACAATCATCCATCTTCTTAGAGGTGGAAATTTTATATTGTTCCTTTTTCTCTTTGAACTCATAATTTCCAGCTTCTTCCTACATTATTTTTTTCCTCGAATTCTGTGTAACAAAAACGTACATGCAGGTTAGAACTGCGGTGTTATCTTCTGGACTACAGTGTTCTGACTTATTAAAAACATTTTTAGGTCTGAGTTATCGTTAGTACACAATTGATCAAAACAATGTAAACAAATTTCAATATAAATAGTACAACCTTATGGGAAATGTCTCTTAATGAGATGTTTTTGTGGATGACTATTACTGATAGAATGAAACAGAGGTTGGCATCAGTTCTTTAACGTAAGAGTTGAGAGAGCATGTTCATATATAAGTAGGAGAAATTGCAAGTTTTGTTATAACACCAACTAGTGGTCACCCCTCACAGGTTCAGCTTTGGACAACAAATGACAATTGGTGTAGACGGGAAAGGGATGTGGAAATTTAATTGTGCAGAGTTCTGCAGGCAAAAATGCTGTAAAAAAAAAAAAAAAAATTGCACTTTGGGGTTTGTCTTTCTTTGGTTTTGTTTCGCAATAATCCTGTAAGGGTCATTTTCATATGTAGACAGAGGAATCCCAAAGACGGAGGAGCCAGGTGACTTGTCTGAGTGTGGCATGGCAGACACAGACACGGACTGAGGACCTCGGTCTCTCCACAGATGCCTAGGGTCTGGTTTTTTTTTTTTTTTTTAAGAATTGTGATTAAAATATACATAGTATAAATTTTACCATCTTAACCATTTTTAAGTGCACAGTTCTGTGGCATTTAGTACACTCACACTGTTGGGCAACCATCACCGCCTCCCATCTCCAGAACGCTTTCATTTTCCCAAACTCTGTCCCCACTAGACACTAACCCCCCATTCCCCTCCCCTGGCAGCCACCGTTCTACTTTGTGTCTCTGTGAATTTGACAGCTTACCCAAGTAGAAGCATGCGGCATTTGTTTTTTTGTGACTGGCTTATTTCACATGTCCTCAAGGTTCATCCATGTTGCAGCATTTCATAATTTCCTTCCTTTTTAAGGCTTTTTAATATTTCGGTGTATGTATCCATTTTGTTTATCCATTCATCCGTGGACGCATGGGTGGCTTCCGCGCCGAGCTAGTGTGAATAACGCTGCTGTGGACGTGGCTGTGCAGACGTCGCTTCAGGACTCGCTTTCAGTTCTCCGGGTGCATACCAGGCAGGGACTTGCTGGATCGGCGCCTGGGTTTTGAAGTGAGCCCAGTTTTCTAGAAAAGCAGGCAGGATATTAGACGATGAAAACAACTCCCTCTGCTCCATTTTAGAGTCCTATTTTCAAGGTGCTAAATTGCACCAAGTCGGTTGGATTTCGGTTCACAGTCGATCTAATGTAGCAAATATTTCTGAAATGTGTTTTTTGCTTACAGAGTTGAATGTGTTTCTTACAGAGTTTTATACCAGAGCTGTTTCCGCGTAATTATCCAAATGAGGGAAGTAAATCCATCAAGCCCATTCTCCGCCTCACTGTTAGCTTTCTGATAATTTATCACGTAGCAGGCTGTCCCTTTAAGATGTGCTGCTGCAGTTTGGAAATTCAAAGTTTGGAAATTATTTTTATTTTCTAAATCTTGCCTTCGTTTGAAAACACAACAGCTCTGAAATCCCCATTTCCCCCAAAGCTTAACTAGAAACATTCAAGAAACTCAGGCGTGACTGTTTTGCAAGGGTCCCTGGGAAGATGCCACCTTGTGCAAAGGCAGATTTCTCTTGACTTTACTCACAGGTGTAGTTTTCAGCTGGAGTCATTGGTGTCTGTGTGCCATTTGGGACAGGATTATCAGACTGGTTCTCTTACAATATTAAAACAAGATTTTCTTCTTAGCATTGGGACAATGCTCTCTGCAGTGATGCCTTTTGGCCACCAGACGGCGATGTGTCCACAGGCAGTGCCACGTTCGCCTGGGTTGCTCCTCCTAGCCGGGTTATTGGGGCACTTCGGGCCTTATTGGTGTTTTTGACACTTGTTTTATTGAAATCAGTATTTAACAGGATGATCTCTTGTTAAATCTCATTCAAAAGAATAAGTAAAATTCCTTTAAAGTAAAAATCATCCCAGATTAATTTAAATTCTTTAAAAATATAAACTTCAGCACAATATATATTAAATACATTTGGAGCTTGTTAACTCTTTCACTAGACTGGGTAGAAACAACCAGCAAGTTACGCGGTTTATCCGCTTAAAAGACCTGCACGTGACCTCGCTCAGGCCTTCGTCAGCGAGTCGCAGAGTTTCGTAGTTCTCATGTGCTCCTGCCCTGCGTCCTCGGTGCCCCGTCCCTCGGGCGGGGGCCGAGTCCTCTTCAGTCTCCGGTACCTCAGTGAAGTGACTCACTGGCAGCAGGTGATACAGGACTCAGGACACCATTGGGGACAGGACGGTGTCACGTTGGCTTGAGGCCTGGAGCATCAGGACACATGCATGCCCGGGTTGGAACCGGGACGCTCAGGGGCGTTGGAGGAGCAGACCAGGAGGGCTGGGCCTGCGCTCGGGACCAGGCTTATCAGTGCCCAGCCTCCCTCACCGGAAACGGTGACCACTGTGTCCCCCCGTGGCAGGAGTGGGCCCACCCTCAGGCCGAGCTCCATGCTTCCCCGAGCTCGGTTCAGCTCTCCCTCCTGCGGGAGGCCTTCCAGCAGGTGCTGTGCCGGGGGCGGGTGTGTAAAAGCAGATGTCGCAGTTCTGGAGCGAGGAGACAAGCAGGAGGGACTGGGCTGAGCCAGCAGTTGCAGGGCAGGGAGAGATGCCTGAGTGGGGCTGGGGCAGCACCGGCTGCTTCCTGGAGGCGGCGGCTCTGAAGCTGAGTGCCCAGCCTAGGACCAGCACCCAACAAACAATTCCATCACAGAGCACCCTGCCCCCAGGTAGTAACAATCTGGAAATAAGCGTAATTTGAAAGATAGTTGACATGGGGGGAAGCTCTCAAAGTAAAAGTTGTAAAATTTATTCCGGCCACCCGTTGTTCCTTTCCATCAGCTGTAAGTGGGTTGGCGGGGTGGGACCCTAACACTGCTCCACGGACCTGCCTTCTGAGGGAGTAGTTCTCAAGAGTGAGGGCCAGGGACTAGCAGCCCAGCCTGGCTGCCACCTGGGAACTCACTAGAAGTGCCACTTCTCAGGCCCCACCGCAGACTGCAAGTCTGAGGGTGGCCCCAGAGGTGTGTTTGACAAGCCCTGCAGGTGATTTCGGGGACGCACTGCTGCTTCCATGCTGCAGAGTTGGCCAGTTCCCTTTTTATGGGGCTGGAACCGGACAGCCTCCCCACCCTTTGCCTAAGAAAGCCCCTAAAAGGGTCCTCCACTGTTCTCCCCGGAGCCAGGGAAGGGCCCTTGAGGAAGCCGAGTTTTTCCTGTGGGCACCTTGGCGCGAGGCCCTCGCTAGGCTGCACCTCTAGTGTCCAACTAGGCAATTAATTAGATCCCTCGTCTCCCTGGAGGATGCAGTTTTCTGGAGCCTGGTCTCCAACACCTTGCCTTGGCAGCCCACGCGGCTGGTGCGGCAGCTAAGCTTGTGCTATTCTTGTCTTTGCTTTGCAGGAACGAGCTGGAGCGACAGTTTCTCGAATTGCTCCAGTTCAACATCAACGTTCCCTCCAGCGTCTATGCCAAGTATTATTTTGATCTTCGTTCTCTGGCAGAAGCAAACAACCTGAGCTTCCCCTTGGAGCCCCTGAGCAGGGAGAGGGCGCACAAGCTTGAGGTACAGGGCTTGCAACGTTGTTTCCTGGTGCGCTGTTGCATTGTCTGAGCACCACAGAACCGTGTGGTCTCCTGCTTTGCGTTACAGAATAAGGACAAGCTACCCTGAGTTATAGCTGGACAGTTAGTTTAGTTCATTATAATTTGTAGAACTTCACAGTTTTAGTCATCTTAATGTGAATTTCAGTTTATACTTAATGTGCATTGATTGTTTTGAAATCAAAGATTTTCTAGAACTGTTATTCTTATAGTAAGGCTTTTTAAAAATATAAGCCCACCAAAATATTTCCCAGCATTCACTTTTTTAGGAAAAAGCTGCTACCAGATGATATTAACAATTGGGAATCCAAAAATAATTTGATTTTTGCTTTGATATTTTTTTCCATAGCTCATTTAGTGCTGGGGCTACCCCATGGTCTTAGCCAGGGTTTCAGGCCTTTGTTGTTAAGCTGTGTGACTTTTGTGTGTCATTGCCGCAGGCTTGTATGCAGCTGCCTCTTCCCACGAGCTCTTCCCCTGGGTGACTTCTTGGCAGGAGGAGGGCTGGGTGGGAGCTAAGCAGGATGACCCCTGCTCCAGCGTGTGAGCCCGAGGCAGGTCCCTTGCACCCTGGACCCCTGTCCCTGGGGCCGTCTTGGTCTTGTCCCATAGAGCCTTCGGCCAGGTGGGTGTTGGCCCCTTGGTGCAGGGCAGGATGGGCAGCGTGGTGGCCTGACCCTGCGGTGGGCCAGAGGTAAGGGAAGAGAGTTATGGGTTGCAGGCTTCAGAAAGCAAAAACCCTAAACAAGATTTTTAAAAAGTAATATGTTAATCTCAAGAAGGAAACTTAGCCAATGATGGGAAAGAGGCCCTCGCCACCCTGTCCTCATCACCGGAATGTCAATTACATTGCCTTCTCCCGTTTTCTTGGTCCCTTCTTTGGCCATCATCTAGAGGTGACCTGAGCCCTCGGCCGTTTCCGGCTCTGAGCCTCTGGTTAACAGCACAATGACAGCCGCTCAGCTCAGTGACCCTCGTGCACACGAGGACGCCAGGGCATGTACATGGGTCACAGCACCTATGGAGCGCTAGCGTGGACCCCAAGTCTGCCTGACCCCCAGGCTACACTGTCCTACGGTTAATTATTTCACAGTCTGAGATTCTTTTCTCATTGGACTGTTAGCACTTGGGAAACAGGGACTGTGTCTACACTTCCTTCTTGGCCCCTGGTGGCCAGCGCTCCAGAGGGGCAGGAACTCGAGGGTCTTCAGTGCCTGGAGCGGTGCTGGGCCCAGAGGGGGTCGGTGTAGGCAGCACTTGCTCCCACGTCTGGCCCTCACCCGGGTTGTCTCTCTCGCCCCTCAGGCCATCTCTCGCCTCTGCGAGGACAAGTACAAGGACCTGAGGAGAGTGACGAGGAAGCGCTCGGCCAGTGCTGACAACCTGACCCTGCCCCGGTGGTCCCCGGCCATCATCTCCTAACGCCGAAGCCCCGCTGGAGGCCACAACCCTGCGGTTTCTCCTTTAGTTTGAGAAAAGACAGACTTGGGGTGGGTTTGTTTTTTTTCCTTTCCTTTTCTTTTTAAACTCATAGCTCCGTCGGGCTGCCTCGATGACCGCCGGCTGCGAGGGAAGCAAGTCAGTATTCTGGAAACCCCGTTTCCCGCCGTCGGTCACAGCGCCCCCCTCGTGGAGGAAACGGACTCTGATCCTGGAGGAGGAGTAGCGGGAAGGGGAGTGGTGGCCAGGCTGGGAGAATGGTAACCCAGCCACTCCCGAAGTCCCCCACCCGGTCAGTAGAGCGCGACGGACACAGCGTAGATGACAGAGTTGGACGTGCATTAAAGACAGTGCTGCCTTCCCACCTGGGTCAGTGTGTTCTGTGAGACTTCTTGCATTCCTTCTCGCTGCTTTTTTGGGAGCTGGGGGATTTTTGGTGGTTTGTTTTTATCCTGTTTTGGTCCCACAGAGCAGAGAACATAGTTTGTACCCACCACGGCACAGACATCCAAATAAATAGTACCGGTTGTTTCTCTCTGCGCCATTTTGCGAGCTATCTCCTGAGCTTTCTTCCTCACCAGTGGGGTGTGCCCGTTAGGTCTCTGTGCACCTTTATTTTAGAGTTTTTCTTCAACACTGGCAGGATTCACTTGACTGTTGTGCTGAACCAAAAGTATCCCTTTCCCCCTTACTCGTCACCCCAAGAAAATTCTAGATTACATCGGTGCTTGTGCCTTCCGGTTTTCTTGCTGTTCTGGGTTTTTTTGTTTTGTTTTTTTTCCCCTTTCTGTGAGCTGAAGTTACAGTTACAAACTCAGACTTTGTGGGCTGAAGGAACCAATGTGTGTGGCAAAGGGTATCCCCAGGTTGGGAATTTTTCCAGAGCGCTGGGTGTTTGAGTAGGAGCCATTTCTTTGTACTCCCTGCCTAATTCATTCCTCTCCTTCCGATGTCCATTGTTGCAAGCAATATTCTCAATTTTTATATGTTTACTTTAAATCAAAGTTAGTCTATTTGTATAAAATTTTTTAAAAATCTAAAATTACAAAAAAAGGTGGGTGGGTATACTTGTGGGAAGAACATTCAAGGGAAAAATGTTAACTGAGGTATTTTTCACAGAATGATTGAATAAAAAAAATTCAACTTGCATTTTCATTGTGGGTGCTTAGAGAAGTTCTAAAAAATTCAAACTGTGAAGGTTTCTGCTTCATTAGTTATGACCATACTTTTTCATTCTGACTCTTCCTGATTTCCTTATGGGCTAGATAAGAACCTTTTACATCAAATAAAATAAAAGGGTTAATGATAGAATATCAAAGTCTTAAGAATCTGAGTCACTTGCACATATACAATGCTTTGGGTTTTTGCATTTTAGGTAAAGGTAACAGTGACGGGTTTCTGAGTGTTTTCCTTTTTCAAATCTCTGTGAAGTAAACGGCACCAAATGATCTGTGTTTCACCTTCCTCCCATGTGAGCTTGGAACATTCTGGAATCTTATAGTAAATAGGTCTTGAGTACCCTAAAGTCATACACCCAGTCCCCAGACTTGCCTGCTCTTGATGAAACACGCTTGGGGAAATGGAAGGGACTCAGAACGTCAAAAATCCTAAGAGCATCAGGCCAAAAGTGTTAGTCAGGTTTCAGTGAAATTTGTGTCATATAGAAACACGAGTGTTTGGGCCAGAAATGTCACCATGTTCTTTCTGGCCTAAACTTTCTGAAGCAAACAAGCAGAATATCAAAAGTTAATTATCTTTCTATTGTAATTGTGCCGATACACTCTGTATGGGTACCAAAATCAGCTTCTCCCTTCAAGAGTTGAATTTAGAACTTTAAATACAAATCTAAAAATGTAGAAAATATCATTTTATATTCCCTAATCTATATAGCTTAAAAAGGGACATATTTTCTTAGCTGAATATGAATACCTCTTAACCATAAATTAGTTCCTCTCGTGTAAATTCCTATTTTACTGATCCATTTCAGGAAAGAGGTTCTGCTGCCTTTATAGCAGAAATCTTATTTTTATCCCTTTTATTTGAATGAGAGATTTGAAAATTGAATTATGTAAATATTTCAATGCATCTGCTATTTTGTGGAGTTTATTAAACTACTTTAAAAAATTGTATAGTCTATTTATTGTATGTATGTACATACAGTCTGATACCCAAAATTTAAAGTGGATTCCATAAAACCTGATTCATTCTTGTTTAGACTTACTGAATATTGTTTTAGCCTTGTGCACTGGACTCTACCTCTGTATAGGAAAATTTTCCATATTAATTAGTATTGATCTGTATTAATTGGTTATGTTTCTTGCACTAAGAATTTTTAAAACTCTGTAGGTTTTAGTTTTACTTTGGCAGTATGAATCGACTCGACACCTAGGTAGATACTTTAGGTTCATTTCATTTCATTTTTCTACATGATGACGAATAGTTACGTTTATTCTGAGTTTGCCAAACCAAAACAAAACCAGTTCAGTACCTATTGATAAATCGTAGTGACTGTAATTCGTGTGCAGGGTGATTCAATGCCCTACTATTAAAGCTGGACTGCTGTTTAGGAACACATTGTCTTAGTGTAGTTTTTGATTGGAAAATTTTTGTCATTAATGAAAGAAGAAAAACCACATAATTTGTTGACTTTAGATTTGACTTAAAACAACAAAGTCATTGGGACAATAAATGTATGTCCCAATGACTTTTTTTTTTTAAACTAGGAAAAGGGAAAGAAGTCAGGGGTTTGAAATCAAATTGGGGGTCAAGGTGAGAAATCCTACCTGCAGCGGGACGTGCTCCCACGCCTTGGTGTACGGGCTGGGGGTCGGCCTCGTGTCTTCTCTGGGCTGCTGTCCCGTGTTTCCTCTCTGAGCTTCGGCAGGGACGTCTTCATCTTGGCGTTTCCCTTGGTCCTGGGGATTTTGATCCTCAGCTGAGCTGCAAAGCAGAATTTTAGGAGTGAATGCTTTTGACTTTTCCTGCTGCTTTTGGTAACTTCTCACCTGGGGCCATATTTTACAGATTTGAATTTTTTAAAAAATAAAATGATTCCTGGTTATTGTAGGTATTTATTAATAATAAGTGTTAAATAAATACATACATAGAACAAATAGTGCTTGCCTTCCTGCTGCTTTCTTTGGGTGATTATATGGAGATGAAATTCCACAGGTTTTACGGACGCTGAGTGAAGGTGGTCTTAGCCCTGGGAGTCTTGAGTGACTCACCAAAGTATGACAGCTACTTAGAAACTTCCAGCAATTGAAATGGTTGCACCACAGGGACCTGGTTAGAGCCCATCACGATACCCATTTTATCTTAAATCACTTGATCTCACTGACGTCAGTGCATCAGCATCATGGGTGGATCTTACAGACATGGCACATCTTGAAAGCCAACTGTGCCAAGCTCCTGCCCTTGTGGAAAAAGAGAAGGACGTAGAAAACGTGCCCTCAAGCTGAGGGGGGAAAGGGTACTTAACTTGGGAGGGTGGCCCTTGACGTCCACGGAGCTTAAGATACAAAACCCCACACTTCCATTGAGATGCGGACTCGTGTCAAACGCAGAGCCTCCGTGGAGCGGCTGCACCCCAGAACACCCCAGAACAAACGGTCCCCACAGGTGCCTCGACAGGGGAGCGCCTGCAGTCGCAGAAGGGGTGGCGTTTGGACCTCCAAGTCCACTGACAGCCCAGTTTTCCTGTTAGATTTTCTTACTAAATTTGCGTACTTGAAGGGGCTAAAGGTCCTCGGCGACACTTTCCGTTAGCAGCTTTTCCTGGGAGTTCAGTGATGAGCGCTGAAACCATCTGCGTTCACTAACCTGCCAGGAGGCACGGAGGCCGCCGTGTGTCGCTGCAGGTCTGAGCCGCGCACCCGCACCCAGGCGAGCATTGGTCCTGGCAGCTGCATCCGACCTTGGTAAGTGAAGAGGGTTCTGCAGAAACTGTCAACAGTGAGAAACGAGCTCAAAGGTGGTGTCCGACAGCTCTCGATAAACTCTCCTGTAACCTTGAGTGACTTGGTTTGAGTAGGGGGCTTTGTGCCTTTTAAGAACTTTTGTTTATATAAATAAGTTATTTCAAACATGGGATAAAAGGATGGCATTCCAAAATACAGCTGGGGACAAAAATATTAAAGAACTTACACATTATGTTAACACTGGTATTGATCGATGTTGTCCTGAAACCTTGGGGTTTAGTCTCAGTCCAAAATTGCTGTGTGACCTTGGACAACTTACTTCACCTCTCTGGACCTCTCAGTGAACTTGGCTGTGAGATACCCTCTCGCTGGTAGTTTTTGCCACTTTTACTGTTTCTGAACGCACCCGGCTCAGCCATTGCGTCAGGATTATTGGACGTTCCTCTGCATAGATGCAGCGAGGCTGGACCTGGTAAAAGACAAAGTCCAAGCCCGTGAGGTCCCCAAGGGGGAAGTCGGTTTCCAGGGTCCCTTCCTAAAGAAGGGTGGCCATTTGTAGACACAGCAGGTCTCATACGAGGGGCCTGGGGACATTTCACCTGCCGCCCATCCTTCTGCTAGGCCCCTCCCGCTACAGCCCAACGTTCAGCCTGTCCTCTAGGCGGGCGTCTCTGGACCTGGTTTGTGAGTTTTTGTCCATGTTGGTAAATTCCAAAAATCTCAGAGCAGTGAAGTCGGTGTCTGAATCCACCCCGCAGCGAATCTGTCTTGAAAAGGGCGCTGCGTCATGGGTGCTCGTCCCTCTGCAGCCCAGAGCTCAGGAAGCCCAACCTCGGAAGAGGAGGATCCTGTTCCTCCTCCCGTGCGGCACCTCCCGGCCAGCCAGGAGGATGGAGGACACGGCCGCTCGCAGCCTCCCCAGATCTGCCTCTTCTCGCCAGCTCTTGGAGTCCACAGCAAAGGACTTGCATCTGAGGGGACCACTAGAGTTGGGGTCCACTCCAAGAAAAGAGCAGCATTTGGGGGCGCAGCTCATGGCCAGCACCAGGCCTCGGCGAAACACCTCGGACACGTCTCACAGGTCTTACAACTTTGCTGGCTTCCAAGTTGCTTCGTCTTTATTTATTTATTTATTTATTTTTTTTCCAGAGACAGGGTCTCGCTGTCACCCAGGCTGGAGTGCAGTGGCACGATCATAGCTCACTGTACCTTTGAACTCCTGGGCTCAAGCGATCCTCCAGCCTCAACATGCTCACTACCCCACCCAGCTAATTTTTTTTTCTTTTTTGTAGAGATGGGGACCAGCTCAGGCTGGTCTTGACCTCCTGGCCTCAAGCGATCCTCCCACCTCGGCTTCCCAGAGGGCTGGGATTACAGGTGTGAGCCACCGCGCCCAGCCAGCTTCATCTTAAAAATACAGAAATGTGCCCCTCTCTAGATGACCCTGAAATTCTTTCCACTCCTGATATTCAATTCTATGAATGACTTAGTTATTCTGGGATTTCCAGGAGTAGTTCAAGACTAATAACACCATGTTTACTTACCCTGAAATCCACAAACACAGAATTTGGAAAAAGCCAGAGCATAGCATCTCTCTGAGCTTTGGCAGGGACGTCTTCATCTTGGCGTTTCCCTTGGTCCTGGGGATTTTGATCCTCAGCTGAGCTGCAAAGCAGAATTTTAGGAGTGAATGCTTTTGACTTTTCCTGCTGCTTTTGGTAACTTCTCACCTGGGGCCATATTTTACAGATTTGAATTTTTTAAAAAATAAAATGATTCCTGGTTATTGTAGGTATTTATTAATAAGTGTTAAATAAATACATACATAGAACAAATAGTGCTTGCCTTCCTGCTGCTTTCTTTGGGTGATTATATGGAGATGAAATTCCACAGGTTTTACGGACGCTGAGTGAAGGTGGTCTTAGCCCTGGGAGTCTTGAGTGACTCACCAAAGCATGACAGCTACTTAGAAACTTCCAGCAATTGAAATGGTTGCACCACAGGGACCTGGTTAGAGCCCATCACGATACCCATTTTATCTTAAATCACTTGATCTCACTGACGTCAGTGCATCAGCATCATGGGTGGATCTTACAGACATGGCACATCTTGAAAGCCAACTGTGCCAAGCTCCTGCCCTTGTGGAAAAAGAGAAGGACGTAGAAAACGTGCCCTCAAGCTGAGGGGGGAAAGGGTACTTAACTTGGGAGGGTGGCCCTTGACGTCCACGGAGCTTAAGATACAAAACCCCACACTTCCATTGAGATGCGGACTCGTGTCAAACGCAGAGCCTCCGTGGAGCGGCTGCACCCCAGAACACCCCAGAACAAACGGTCCCCACAGGTGCCTCGACAGGGGAGCGCCTGCAGTCGCAGAAGGGGTGGCGTTTGGACCTCCAAGTCCACTGACAGCCCAGTTTTCCTGTTAGATTTTCTTACTAAATTTGCGTACTTGAAGGGGCTAAAGGTCCTCGGCGACACTTTCCGTTAGCAGCTTTTCCTGGGAGTTCAGTGATGAGCGCTGAAACGATCTGCGTTCACTAACCTGCCAGGAGGCACGGAGGCCGCCGTGTGTCGCTGCAGGTCTGAGCCGCGCACCCGCACCCAGGCGAGCATTGGTCCTGGCAGCTGCATCCGACCTTGGTAAGTGAAGAGGGTTCTGCAGAAACTGTCAACAGTGAGAAACGAGCTCAAAGGTGGTGTCCGACAGCTCTCGATAAACTCTCCTGTAACCTCGAGTGACTTGGTTTGAGTAGGGGGCGTTATGCCGTTTAAGAACTTTTGTTTATATAAATAAGTTATTTCAAACATGGGATAAAAGGATGGCATTCCAAAATACAGCTGGGGACAAAAATATTAAAGAACTTACACATTATGTTAACACTGGTATTGATCGATGTTGTCCTGAAACCTTGGGGTTTAGTCTCAGTCCAAAATTGCTGTGTGACCTTGGACAACTTACTTCACCTCTCTGGACCTCTCAGTGAACTTGGCTGTGAGATACCCTCTCGCTGGTGGTTTTTGCCACTTTTACTGTTTCTGAACGCACCCGGCTCAGCCATTGTGTCAGGATTATTGGACGTTCCTCTGCATAGATGCAGCAAGGCTGGACCTAGTAAAAGACAAAATCCAAGCCCGTGAGGTCCCCAAGGGGGAAGTCGGTTTCCAGGGTCCCTTCCTAAAGAAGGGTGGCCATTTGTAGACAC